TATTAAAGTTAATAATTAAAAAATTGTACTTAATTATAATTATATTTATATTATATGATACAGTAACTGTAGAGAGTTTTTTTAGATAATTTAGAGATTAATATTTTAATATTTGCAGTTGCATAAAATATCTTACAATGCATAAGCTATAAATATAAAAATTTGACATTTTAATTTCTAATACATTAGTCCAAATAAGATATCCAATAATACTAATCTATTTAATCCATCTTAGGCTTCGTTTGGATAACCTTTTTTACTGTCTTTTAAAACTACTTTTTAGTATAAAATTTTTGTGAATTAATTTTTTTTGTACAAAAAAGTCATATTAAAAAACAGCAAAAAAAGTTATCCCAAATAAAGCCTCAGGCTTCGTTTGGGACAGCTTTCTTACTGCTGCTTAAAATAGTTTTCTAATAAAAAAATTAAAATTTTCGTACTAAAAAACTGCTTTAAGAAGCGATAAAAAAGCCGTCACAAACAAAGCCTTAAACTTTGCATAGGACAACTTTATTATTGCTTTATGAAAGCAGTTTGAAAGTTGTCCCAAATGAATTCTTAATTTAGATATCCAATAATACTAATAAGATCTCTAACTATTGAATTTCAATTAAATTGAAAACTTACTATATTATGCGAGTTAATTTGCTTGAAGTCAAATATAAATTGAATTCAAGTTCAATAAAATATATCTATTATTTATTTTTAAAGCTCGTGAATTACAATACAATTTGTTAAATTTAATATTTTTTAGCAATAAAAAAAAATCTCCAATAAAATTATCTCTTAACAAATGTTGTGTGTATTTGTAGCACAATTCATTCGTTGTACTCCATTTACGAAAATTTTACTAACAACTATGATATTTAAAATCAATAAGTTATGCCCCAAATCAAAAGAATATTGACTCAATCCTAACCTACAAGTACGGGTGTCAAAATGAATTTTCAGATTGGGTTTGGATCCAACCCGAAACTCATGCGCTCTTGATGGATCCAATCCATATCCAACATGATTACATAAATGAGTCAGAAAATTTGAACCCGGACCAAACCCATGCTAAATCAGAGTCGACCAAACTATCCGAGAAGCAAACGTGGGTGAGCGCAGAGCAGACGAGGCTGGTGCGGTCTAGTGCAAGCCATGAGGTGTGGGGGCAAGCGCGGGTCGAGCACGATGCGGGTCATTTCTAAGTCAGCCAGTTGACACAGACATGATCCGATTTTTCAAACGGAGTAGGAATTATGACCCGAACCCAACCCGCTTGTTAAACGATTTACCTGAAACTAAAGTTTTCAGTTTGAGTTTTCCGATCGTATTATAAATTGACACCCTACCTGCAAGTTCATATGTTGACTCAAATAACAATGTCTTTTAATTTAGATAATAATTCATCTAAACATGTTCATAATTTTTTTATTAGTTAGTAAATTAGTCAGTGTTGAAGATGATGCCCTTAAAATCTATTTTTTGACTTATAGATCTAATGCTATGATAATGAGATATTTAACTGAGACTTAATCGCTAAGCACTTATGACAAATTGTAGTTGGAAATTCATAAGCAACCAAACCTAATTAAGCTTAGAATATTATCACTACTAATCACGTGATGCCCTTAAACAGCACCTTATTATCCTACCTTAAACCGAGACCCATAGCTTTGTTCTCTGCATGGATGTATGGAGATTGGATATACAATATCACTAAACGCCGTATCAGTGGTCTAATTTTGAGTCTTATTTCAGGTCCCTTTATCCTTTGCATTTATGAAGGCTAAGCGGACCGCCTAATGCTCAACAACCAACCAACTTTGACCGTAATTCGATAGATAGACCCGCAATATCGGCGTTCTCTTGCACCTCGTGACTGCCCTACTTAACATATTCCCGCTCAAAAAAGAAAAGATTTTATAACTGTTTGGGGACTGCTATAGCTGTCGATAAATCAGGTTGTAAATTGCTGTATAAAAAATTATTTTCTGAGGTTGCTGTACATAAATCACTATATTTTATTTGGAAAGTATAACTAACGAACTGTTGTGCTGCTATATGCCGACAAATTACATTGATACTCTTATATATTTAGTTGAAATTTTTTTTTGTAAATTAAAAAAAAATTTAAATGTACATAATAAAAGAAAAAAAATTAAATTACAATTTTATCCACTTTTATGAAATATTTTATTCGTTTTAAATATTTAAATATGTTTTTTTTACAATATAATATCATACTTTAAAATTATATTGAAAAAATTATAATATCTGATATTACTTTAATTTTTTTTTTTGTGATAATAATAATATGACTCGATAAATTTTTAAGATTTAATTAAAATAAAAATAAGTAAGTAATTTTCAAAACATGAAACAATTTTTTTTTCTCTATTACAATTTTAGTGTAAAAAAATACACAATTAAAATTGTTTGAAATAAATAATTGTTGGAGAGAAGAGGAAGATGCTGTTTGTGGAGAGGAGGATCAGACATGCCTATATGATTGGTCCAAACGATCGGCTAGGTGCTTGGGGCTCGTTCGATCGAGAGAAAGAGCATGCGGATGGGAATTGACAGATTAATTGAACATTGGAGTTGGGTCGAAGTACTAGGAGCAACTTAGAGGCATAGGCATCGTGAGGGGCGTCGAAGTCGCAAAAGTTGAATTGCCAGACACAAGGGCGGGCCGGAGAACGTGAGTCCTAGATGGATGAGCTTGAGGAAGTCGGCGTTAGTTTTTAAGGTTTGGTAATTGTAATCAGAAGCCGTGAGTAAAGGCATCGATGGGACGAAGATCACGAACATTTGCAAGTAGGCCAGTTTGCGTCATTTTTTCCCTTCAAAATTGCAAAAAGCTGTGGACCGCGGGAGATAGTGAAGGGCCGCGGAAAGTAACCATGTGCCCGAAATTTTTCTTAGCCCAATTCTGTCGCAATGCCCCCGAACGACTATTTAATAGCTTTTTATAAAGCAAAGCACTAGTGACGTCGTCCTTAACGGATCCTATGTTTCTATGATTAAGTTTTTGCCTGAAATTAATCCTAAATTTACTAAAAAAATTAATTTAGATTGAATTTAGTGATTATTTTTGCTGAAATTTGATTGGGTTTATAATTGTTTGATTAAAATTTATTAATTTTTAACCAAAACTTTCGTTAGATATATTTTCTAAAAAAAATTATGATGGAAAAATAATCAAAATTATCAGAAAAATTCATCAAAACAAACAACAACAACAACATCAAGCTTTTATCCCACTACGTGGGGTCGGCAACATGAATCATTTTTCTCCATTGTGTCATACTAAAAGTCAAATTCTCGTTTAAATCTAATAAAGAAAGATCATTCCTAAAAATTCATCAAAATATTGAAATAAAATAATTATCATAAAATAATACTGAAATCAAAATCAAACTTTAACGCATTGTGTAAAACCACATTAATTTGAAAACAAGCTCTTAAGAGTATCAGACCAAATTACCAAACCGTATCTCCCCACCAACCGCTCGACCGAATCCCAAAGCCAATAAAGTAAATTTGCATAAATCACCCAGTTTTTTTAAAGTTTTATAGTAATCAAATATTATTTTAAAATATTAGATATTTAAGTATCAAACACAATTACCATCACGCATATTACGCTTGGGATAGGGGAGGCGGCAGTTTTGTTCTACAATAATTATATTAAGGTTTCATTTGGGATGAATTTTTTACAATTTTTAAAATAATTTTTTCGTATAAAAATATAAATTTTTATATAAAAAATAACTTTAAAAAGCGGTACTAAAATTATTTCAAATGAAGCTTAAAACTAAGCGCATGTTAGAGGAACAATTATTACGTCCTCCGACCGGATGCAGAGAAACATCCGGTCACAGGCAAAATCCCGCTGTACCGAGGTGTACCGAGTTTTTTTCGAAAAACTCGGTACACCTCGGTACAACGGGATTTTGCCTGCGACCGAATGTTTCTCTCATTCGGTCGACCGGACCAAATAAAACTTCATGTTAGAGACACCTTTCTAACTGCTTCATATTTTCATAACACAATTATATTTTTATTTGATTGTTATTATTTTGTTATTTTTTCATAAATAAAAAAAATTATGATAGGACGTTATTTTTAATAAATAGATGTATTAATGTGTGGGAGCTAAAAGTACTTTTTGGTTATATATATATATTCACCATACACAAAGCATGTTAAAAATTTTATTTTTTTCACAATAATTTTTAAAATAAATGTTTTTCCCACAACAGTTTCACAATCAACTTTTTAAAAAGCCACAGCTCCCACAGACTTTAGGCTTCTATTGTGGCTACTTTTTATTACTTTTTAACTTTTTAGTAAAAATAATGTTTAAATTTGTACTAAAAAATTATTTTAAAAACAATAAAAAAGTTATCACAAATGAATGATAAATTTCTTATTGCCTTGTAGAGTTTTTGTAGGAAAAATATATTTTCAAAGATATTGTATAAAGCAGTGTCTTTAGTAGCAGCTGAATAAAAATTATGATTATGAACAAAAAAAATAAAATACTAAGATAACAACATCAAATTAAACCTTAATTATCTTTAATAATTTTATATTTAATTTTATGAATGTATTAGATATTTAAGATATACAATTACATTTACGAATTTTAATGATAAAAAAGAAAATAAATATTGTTGCGTCCTGGAATATTCGCGGCGGTAGAGAAATATATAGTTTAACGTCTTAGCGTTGTACGAAGATCCAGCACACAAGCAGATAAGTGAGAGGGTGTAGCGTTCATAAGAGACACCAAAGTTTTTACGTGGAAAACCCCTGAAAAAGGGGGAAAACCCACGGGGCCTGGCCCGGTTTGAATGAATCCACTAGTATTTGTAGTCGATTACAAATGAGGCCCTTCCTTAGGAGAAGGCCTTGGATTGATGTAGCAAACCTTCCCAGTGAAAAAGCTAAATATTCGATCTCTTAAAATAAGATATATAAACTGCTCGCAGAAGAAATCCCTCCAAAAAAATTTCCAACGAAAAAAAATGCGCAGCTGGCCTTAAAAGCCGATCGAAGGAAGCCATGAACATCAACGGAAAGCAATGGATCCGCAGCCGTCGCCGGCGATGCATCTTGATCTCCCTCGCCGTCTTCCTCTTCATCGTGTTGCTCTTCGTCATCCTCGGCGTCACCGTCTTCCGCGTTCGCGAAGCCACCACCACCGTCAACTCCGTCAAGCTCGGCGGCTTCAAAGCAGGTTTCAATCTCCCCAACCTCGGCGTCGACCTCAACGTCACTCTCGATCTCGACCTCACCGCTCACAACCCCAATCACGCGAGCTTCCGCTACGGCGAGAGCTCCGCCGAGCTATTCTACAAAGGTTCGCAGGTCGGCGAGGCGGCGATTCCGCCTGGGCAGATTAATGCCGGCGGATCGGAGCGGATGAATGTGTCGGTGACGATCTTCGCCGGGAGGTTGATTGGCGATTCTGCTTTGTATAGTGATGTGCTATCGGGATCGCTTGTTTTCCAAACAACCACGAGGATTCCCGGCAGGGTCTCGGTGCTGGGGATTTTCAAGCATCACATTGTGACCTACAGCAGCTGCGATGTTACTGTCAACGTCAGCAGCCGGACGGCGGACAATTCGAATTGCAGGTACAGGGCAAAGCTATGATTTCTGTGGCTCGTGTGTATTAATTGGGGCTTTGCTTTTTGGGGGAATTTTGCTTTTATGTACATGATAGTAGAGCTGTTTCTTGTGCTTGAAATTAATATGTGATACATCAATTAAAGCACCATGAAGCAGTTCTTCGATTATTATTGCTGGCATGGGGAATTTTAGCTATTGCTCTGACTGTGGGTATTAATTGGGGCTTTGCTTTGTGGGGAAATTTTACCTTTTTTGTACATGATAATGGAGCTATTTATTATGTCTAAAATCAATGTGTGATAGATTATGGCTTTGTTTGAGGAACTTTTATTTGGTCCGGTGTAAGGATGCAGAGGAACATCCGGTCATAGGTAATCCCGTCTATACCGAGGTGTACGAGTTTTTTTGGAAAAACTCGGTACGAGTTTTTTTGGAAAAACTCGGTACACCTCGGTATAGGCGGGATTTTGCCAACGACCGAATATTCCTCTGCATCCGGTAGGAGGACGTAATAATTGTTCTTGATAGAGACAGCTTCTTTGATGCTTTTTAAAATAATTCTTTTAGTACAAAATTTTTTGAAATTAAAAATTTTGTATTAAAAAATAGTTATAAAGTAGCAAAAAAGCTGTCCGAAACGAACTTTTATTTGGTCCGGTGCAAGGACCTAGAGGAAGGTTCGGTTTTGCCTAAAAAAGTGCAAATACTGAGTTTTTTGAAAAAATACCGAGTTTTTCAAAAAACTCGGTATTTGCACTATTTGACCTATTTTTGCCTAAAACCGAACCTTCCTCTACATCCAGTGAAAGGACCTAATAATTGCTCGTCCGAAACAATACCTAAAAAGAGCATGAATCACTTCTCTTATTATAGTCGCTGGCGCAAGGGATGAGTACTTTGATTTGTGGGGAAAAGTTCCTTTTATGTAAATGATAATATAGCTGCTTATTATATTTGGAACTAATATTTGATGGATTAAATGGAACTTGAAACAATTATATGATTATTGTTGATTTGAGATGACTGCAGTGTTTTATAAAAGTGATTACGAAGTTGCTATAGAGAAAGCTACTTCTTTATTATGGCTGTAAGAAATATCTTTCCATCATAGAAATGTTTAAAAAATAATGAAAAAATAGTAGTCAGATAAAATTGTGATTATTGTTTGAAAAACAAAGCAGCTAGAAAGCTATTCCAAGCATACCCTGAAAAAAATGAACAATTACTTTTTTAAAAGCTATAACACATTAACAACTATGGTCCTAAAAAGCAGCTTTTCATCATTAAAAATTCAAAAAAATTATGAAAAATATCAATAAAATAATAACCGAATTGAATTGTTATTGCGATATGAAAAATAAAATATAGAGAAAGTTATCTCAAGCAAATCTTTGAGGTGATCTTAGCATATTAGTACATAATAGTTTGATTTTATGCATTGAAAAATAAATGAAGTCTGTTGTGTCCTGGAGTATTCGAGGCGGTAGAGAAATATAAAGTGGCGTTTTAGCGTTGTACGAAGATCCAACGCACAATCATATAAGAGAGAGGGTGTAACATTCATAGAGACACCAGAGTTTTTACGTGGAAACTCCTGAATAAGGGGAAAAACCACAGGGCCTGCCCCAATTTGAATGAATCCACTAGTATTTGCAGTTGATTACAAATGAGGCATTTCCTTAGGAAAATGCCTTGGCTTGATGTCACAAACGTACATTATATAGAGCACATTACAAGGTGCGAGTTACATAGACATGTTTGTTTGGTCGGTAGGACCATAGTCGATGTGATAGATGTCGGGAAGATCATAGTTAGCTAAAGACCATTGTCTGACTATGTAGGTCGGAAGGACTATAATATGCAGGAGGCCAAGGTCAGAAAGACTGTTGTAGTAGAGTGGTACTCTGACAGAACTCCGGGCCTCAAGTGGTGGTCCGGCAGAAGAATGGGCCTCAGGTGCTGGTCCGGTAGAAGTCCGGGCCTCCCGTGGTGGTTTGTCATAAGTTCGGGCCTCAGATGGTGGTCCGGCAGAAGTCCGGGCCTCAAATGGTGGTCCGGCAGAAGTCCGGGCCTCAGGTGGTGATCCGTCAGAAGTTCGGGGCTCAGGAGGTGGTATGGCAAAAGTCTGGGCCTCAGGCGGTGGTCCGGCAGAATTCCGGACCTCACATGATGGTTTGGCGGAGCAACAACGTCAGGCGGCGGTCCGACGGAGGTGAGGGCCTCAAGTGGTGGTCTGGCGGAGCAACGACACTAGGTGGTGGTCCGACGGAGGTGAGGGCCTCAAGTGGTGGTCCGGCGGAGCAACAACGTCATGCAGTGGTCCGGCGGATGTGAGGGTCTCAAGTGGTGGTCCGACAAGACTCTGATGGTGGTCGAGGAGGAGCTTCTTCCTTCTCTTCCTTTTCTTCTCTTCTTCTCTTCTTTCTTCGATCCCCCCTAAAGAGAAATGAGGGGTCTATTTCTAAAATTTTGGAGTGGCATGACCCGTAAATAGGTGAGAGATCAAGGGCAAATGGGGAGTGGTTGGATGGACGACCGATATTGAATCGCTTGATTATGGACCGTTCGTCAGACATTTAAAGGTCTTAGTGATGTCAAAATTTCGGCGATCTTGGTCTCGTTGGATTCGTCTTGTCATGCCGCTCGATTCGACTATAAGCATGTAATGTTTGGAAACCGTTTGGTAATTCAAATTATAGTTCGAACCTTCCAACAACACTTCGGGCCCTTGATTTGGATTCATTTGGGCTCGGATTGAGTCGAATTTGGTGTCGTTGCATTCGTATTTCCGAGACGCTCAGTTCGACTGTAAGTCAGCTGAAACCAGAGTTAGGATGATCCCAATTTTAATTTCAAAGTTTCCAACTTGATTTTGCATCAAGATTCGTGCCCGATCAAGATAATTCTTTGATGAAGTATCAAAGCCTAATGCAAAAATTAAGAACTCAAACAAAAGAATGAAGATAGAAAAGAAAATTCAATGTAAAAATACATAGAATTTTCTTATAGTTGAAATAGAGAAGGAAAATGAAAGGAACTTATTGTTGGAAATTGAAAGGGTTGAAAGATTAGGAGAGATTTTCAGAGGAGGATATGGTGGTTGGGCTATCTTTGTTTGCCTTAATTACAGCAGTAGTTGCTTATTTCTTTATTTAAGTTTGGTCATTAGTGATCCCATACATCTCATGATTTATTGATATTTTATAGCATTAATGTAGTATTTGATACATGTTAGATCTATATTGGACATATAGTTGGCTTATCTGATTAGAAAATAATAAATAAATAGAGGACATGCGAATGTGACATATATCTATAATATTATTGATGTGAATGATGAATTGAATAAAAATAAAAATAAGAATTTCAATATTCATTTATTTGTTTATTTTGTAAAAGTATAAATTATATATATATATATATATATATATAATTTTTATTTTTTGTAAATATATTAATTTGACATTGCACCAAATCCAATCAAGCAAAGTATAGTAGTAGGTCAAGCCAGAGTCACTGGGGGTGAATGCCACTTGGTGTTATGTTTTGTTAGCTAAATATTTTATTTTTGTGCTAGTGCTACATGGTTGGGATAAGATTAATGATGATGATAATATATTTTTTATTAAATATATTTTTATCATTATTATTGCTAAAAGTTGGTAGATTTAAACTTAGGATTCGTTTGGGACGATTTTTTTACATTGAATACTATAGGATTAATTATTCTAAGCGGACGTCGAACGCGTCCAGCTATTGGAAAAGCTATTAGAATGATATTAAGGTTTCTTTTGATACTATTTTTAAATTATTTGTTAAAGCAGTTTTTTAGTATAAAAATTAAATTTTTTGTACTAGAAAGCTGCTTTAAAAAGCAACAAAAAAGTTATCTCAAAGGCTTCGTTTGAGACAGCTTCTTTGCTGCTTCCTAAAATGGTTTTCTTGTACAAAAATTTTCAGTTCACAAAATTTTTGCACTAACAAACTATTTTAGAAAGTAGCAAAAAAGCTGTCCCAAACAAAGCCTAAGGGTTCTTTTGTGACGGTTTTCTTAATGCTTTGTAAAGCTGCTTTTTAGTAAAAAAATATCTTAGAAGTAGAAAAAAATAGTTGTTTAAAGCTGTCCCAAACGAAGCCTAAAAACTAGAGTGGGAGAGGATATTGGAAGTTTGCTACGTTTCTTTCTTTCACCCTAATGCATGCTATCTCTTCCTGCTTTCTTAGAAATAACTAAAGATTTATTGTTTTTTCATGTTTCAAACATTTAAATAAACTTAATGTATTTTTTTTTTCTAAAGGAAAAAATATACATTAAACTCTTTTGAATTCCTTTTTAGTCATCTTCTTCATGCTACCTATTTGGATGGTCTTTATTCTTTTGGTTAAGCTTTGTAAAGTACTTGAGAGCATAAAATTAGCTCTTTAAGTGCGTATATTATTAAAATTTGGTCAAATGACATTACAATATGACGATAATTAAGACTGATAAATGACTCAATTATAATATACAAGGATTAGGAATGTCAATAAATGATCAGATACGTTAGCACGACTTGAATTTGATTAAAAAATTTGAGTTTGAGTTGACCTGTTTAATAAATGAGACCGGTTCGAATTCATAATTTCAACATGTCTATTAAACAAGTTGGATGCGGGTTGCCTTATTAATCCAATTTTAACCTGAAAATGATATGTTAATATTTTCTCCTTAAATTCTTTTATTTTTTATATGATCTTCATTTTTTTTATTAATTAAACTAAAGTCAACGCTTAGCAAGTTACAATTTTAAAAAATGAGAATGAGTTGTCGGTTCATGTTCAAGCCATTTAAGTTGGTAGCAAGTCAAGTTCCCATCTTAAAAACTTGTTTATTAAACGGTCATATTTGGGTTGACGGATATGGTTCGAGTCAACTGGATATGGTTTAAGTCAATTTTAGTTCGAACTCAAACTGTTGACCCGTTAATCAATTTTGATATATCTAATAAGAATATATGACACTTTGCATAATAATTGCTTCAAATGTTCACTCTCAATTTTCATTTTTTTAATAAGGGCGATTTACATATATATACCATTTTATACCATCCTATTTATATATTTAACATCCAAAATTTTAATATTATATACATACCACCCTATATTATTTTAATATCAAATATATCACTTATATTTCATTTTTATCACACATTGTTGATATGAAAATGAATTATATGTGGTATGTATGTAATATTAAAACTTTATGTATTACATATATAAATAGAATAGTATATGATGGAATGTATGTAAATCCCCTTTTAATAAATAAATCCTCAATATTAATTATGGTAGATTAATTTAACTTATTTTCAATGTTAATATATTTTAATAAGATGATTTTAGATGCCATTCTTTAAGATTCACACACTCCTTCCTAACCATATTATGCTAATAAAAATTATATAATGAAATTATACATTTAAGTATGTTACATTCTTTCTATTTTCTAATATAAATAATTTCATCATCTTGTAAATAAAAATAATTGTGGGCGTAATATGTAAATAGTCCGAGACGGCGAATTAGGGTTGAATCGAAGGCGATAAGGTATACTGTAATTCCACTCCACTCTGGCTCTCTCGGCCTCCATCCCATCACCCTTATCGCAACGTACCAGCTCCGTTCATGATCGCCGCCGCGACGCTAACCCTCCGGCCATGCGGCAGCTTCCCGTCTCGCAGCGCGGAGAGATCTCTCACCGCGAAGGGAGCCCCTCCCAGCCGCCTCGTCGACCTTGATCTGCTCGCCATTGGCAAAGGGTTTGGTGAACGCGGCAGGCTTTGCATCAGAAACTCCTCATTTGCAGTACGAGCTGTTGCCGTGAACTCTGATGAACTTGGTTCCTCACATACGATTGCTGAGGTTAGTTTTCTCTTCTTTTACTAGGAATCGGGTAGTCTCTGTTTTTGGCATTAGGTTGATACACCAATATTCATGAACAAATTCTTTATTAATCCTTTCCCACAACTTGCTAGACTCGTTGAATTAGTGGATGTTATGACACATGAGAATGTTGGGTTTACTGTCAAATATGATAATTTTGAAAATATAACACTATAGAAATACCGAGTAATTTATTCTTATTTAAGTTTTATCTTTTAGGTTAAAAAGAGTTAATTATTGGTGTATCAAGCACAACTTTAACCTCCTCTGAGTCGTACTCTCTAACAATGGGTAGTTTAGGGAGCATGTTTTTAACTCTTAATTGGTGTCAAGTTGTAAGGGAATTTGAACTCTTTGAGCTATGGGCTCTTCAAAGTTTGGAGAGTGGATGAAATGTTATGAAGGAAATTAATTTGAAGTCCTATATTTGTAGACACGGTCAAGGAAAATTAAGGTACTCACCAAGGTTGGTGGAGGGCATGCTAATTCAATTGTTTAGTTGTTATAATTTATATATGACATGTGCACTAAAAAGGCAATTGATAAATGCAACCCTATGGTTTTATGCTTTATCCAATGGGATTTCTTAATTTGATGGATAAATTGATTAACACCTAGATTTTGATAGTTTATGCAAGCAGTCATGTGGCATTTTGTTTAAAATTATGTAATCTAAGGCTCACCTTGAGATTTTGCTTACGGTTTGCATCAGGGTGGGGTGCAAGTATAGTGTCTTGAGGCTTAAGCCTCACTGTAGGAGAAAAAGACATATATCTCAATTGTTTAAGGTGCATAATGGGGCGTGCCTTGTGGTGCAACTAATGAGTGGTATGCCTCTATTTCATGATTTGCATTAAATGTTTTGGGGTTTATGAAGATACTTTCAAAGGAGTGTCAAAAATTGGCCCGACTCGCCTACCCGATCCGGACCTGACCCAAAAATTTTGGGTTCGGGTTGATCCGTTTAACAAACGGGTCGGGGTTGGGTCTAAAAATCTGACCCGTTTAAAAAAATGAGTCAGGTTTAGATCAACACATCAACCTGAAATTAATCGATTTTGACCCCGATCGAAAGATTTACATATTTTGCAGAGAAGTGTCCGCAAAGAAGAGGTGGGAAAGAGATTTCATTTCGTAGCTTTCGTTCGCGGTTCGCCATTTCCCTTACATTTTCGAACAGTTCGCCAGTTCTGGTCAGAGCGGATTGGAAGAAGTGCGTGAAATGGACCGATTTACGGGATTTGGCTAAAGAAGAAGCATGGATGATGAATGGTTTATGGAGGATGTAAATGGAGTTTCATTCTCACAATTACAATAGGAACATAAAGACCCATAGGAGGTTAATATAAAAATTTAAGAGATAGAATTTATAAAAAGCATATATCATGTTTTTAAATAATGTTTTTATTGATTTTTTTTTTTAATTAGAAAAGAGGTAGATGATTGAGATTAAAGATGAAGGAGATTAAGAGGATGTTAATACAAGTAAGAAAAAGGGAGATGAGAAAGAAATCAATTATAATGTTGATTCTAATGAAGACTCTCTAAGTAATGGAAATAGGAGAGACTTTTGAATTCAGAGTCCTAAGCCATACTTAGTTTATTTTAGACTAATTAAATATATTTATATGTTTATTGCTTCTTGCTTATTATTGAGTTATTGTGCTACGTTTTATGATGATCTTTTGATAAATTTGGATTGCCCTCTACTAATTTATTAGGAGGAAATAGAGCTCAAGTTTTTATTTAATGTTACTTAATAATGAGTCCTAAGGAGGATGACTCTCAAATGGTTCATTTTTTAAATTTTCAATTAATTTAATGATTTACTTTTGAGGTTCAGGCATAACCTCACAAAAATAAAACACCTTAGTACTCAATTATGCAATTTTAAACCTTATCGTCGATGTAGTGATTCTTCGTTTGATGTATGTGTCATGCAAAAGGAGCAAAAGATTTTGATTAAATGTTGATTAGACCTAAACTGACATACAAGTGTTGATTAAACCATATTAGTTTAGTTGGTTTATGTCATACTAGTCCAGGGTTTGGTATAGTAAGGATGGTGGCCCCTTATCAATTGGCAGTTGTGGCCCCTACCCAATTGTAGTTATAGTTTTCTTTATCAATTGCAATGTTGACCAATGATGACTATCATGTGGTGGTTAGTGAGGAGTGGCAAGTTTTTTCTTTGTATAACTATAACATAATTAAAGTAAGGAACTGGGCGGTCATCCATCTTCATTGACTGTTTGAGGGAACCCAATCAATGTCTTGAGATTATACTGGTAATGTCGAAGAAATCCATGGTGGAGCATGGTTTATGCATAAAAGGTACTCAAACACCACGCATCTTTATTCTCAGAAGCAAAGAACTCTTTGAACTATTCAATTTCTCAATTTCCAACTTCATAGCCATCTGATTCCTCAAAAACCTTTACCTTATATCAATTATTAAGAAAAGTGAGAACATCTAGCTTCATTCTATGAAATCGTCAACCTTGAAGTAAGTACTATGAACCACAAAGTAATTACAAAAAGAGATCAATCATTGTACAAAAATAAGCATAAAAAACTTATATGGTTTGATTTAAGTAATCCTATTTTCATGGCAGATAAGAGAGGATTTGATTCATTAATAAAAAAGATATAATTACAATGTGTAATAAAAGGATACTCACCCACTCTTCCCTAAAATCAATTGCATCATCATTCAACAAAGTAAATGAGAAGCCCCAACTCTCATATTATGAGAGAGAATTAGCTCAGAAGATATGGAAAATGTCAAAAAGTTACCCTACTTCAATAGTTTCTAAAAAATGTATAGAAATAAGCTTCTTTTGATCTTCTTCTCTTTATTTCTCTTCCTCTTCTGCCTTTTCTCACTTCTCATTTTCTTCTCAATTCATTTACAAAAAACCTTAAAATTGCCTTATGTTTCCATTGCCAATTAAGCTTCATTGCAACAACTTATATTAGCCACCAGCCCAATGTAGAGCTATGTAATTTATGAAAATTATCAAACACCAGACTTCCACATAAGAAGCTTGATACCTACCTCACCATGCTATTCATGCATGCCAACACATTTTTAAGTTTCCACATAAGCTTGAAACAAACTTAATCACATGATCTATGGATCATAATAAGTCAGTACCTGATATGTTTAGTGCACTGATTGGTTGATACTTGTGGTTGGACTCTTTCTACTAAAGCTCTTGAAAACAAAAGATTGGCACTTCATTGAAGGTCTGTGCATGATGCCCAATGCGAGAAGTTTTTAACATTTAAGGTAGTAATTGAGCAAGTGAGGAGTCAAGACTAATTAAATTGGTGGGTGTTATGGCTCATTATTGATTGAGTTTAATCCCAAATATGATAATTTTGAAAATATGTTAGTGTAGAAATATCAAGTAATTAATCTTCACTTATAAACTTCAACTTGTTAAAACATGACTTTGAATATTAGTGTAATTTGCTTGGCTTTGATCCATACGGTCTAATAATTGGTAGTTTTGGGATCAAACTCTCTACCTTTGATTTGTTCTCTTTAACAATTGATAGTTTTAAGGAGCATGCTATTAATTCTTATTTGGTATAGAGTTAAAAGTGCCTTTAAATCTTTGAGCTATAGGTTCTCGAAAGTTAGAAAGTGGAATGAAATAGTATGAATGCAAATAATATGAATTTCATTATTCATAAACACAGTCAAGGGTGATATAGGTACTTACCAAGGTTGTTGGAGGAGATGTCAATTCTACCGTTTAGTCCTTCCAATTTCTATTTAATATGTGCATCAAAAAGGAAATTGATCGATGCCAACCTTTCGTATTTTGGGATTTGTATGTTGGATCTTCTTGATTTGATATATTGCTGGATCAACGCACACCCTAGTTTTATTAGTTTGTCTGCATGGATTGGCCTTTAATTTATGTAGGCAAGCACGTGGACCTCAGGTTCAATGTCTTGATACTTCCTTTGATATGCTGATAGGAAACACTCCAAGTGTTTCACACCAAAACCAAGAGGATCCAAAGGAAAACTGCTGTCCACAGCAGAAAAACAGCCAACTGCACGAAAATCTGAGAGGAAACGTAGGAAGAACACTGCAAACACTTTTATTTCGATAACGGATGAAAAGCAATTGCAAGATACAGCTTTCCTTCAATTCGAGAGGAAGGAAAAACTCTCCAAAAGATCTCCGGCGAAGCCAAGAGCCAATAACACAATTTCTTAAAGGATTCATGTCATTATTGTTCGACAAGTTTTACGCTGGCTGTCAACTACCTAACGCAACCCTCCACTTTTCTCATCCAGGACTTGGGACATGGCAACGGCAGTGTTAAAAGCCAAAAAATTCATTAAGCCATCAAATTTCTCACTCTAAATCTTCGTACTCATCATATTTCTCATAAACATTTGCTGTGATATCAATTGTTATCAAAAGTGAGTAAGCTTAACTTTATGCTATCAAACCATTAACACATAAGCAACTTCAATGAACTACAAAGTAACTACAAAAGAGATAAAACGCCACAAAAAGATAACACTAAATATTTTTGCGGTTCGACTTAATTAGTCATACATTCATGGGAAATGAGAGAGGATCCAATCCACTAACAAAGAAGGCACAATCTTGGTGTATAATAAAAAGACACTATCTAGCCCTTACAAAAACCTAAGTACACATCCCCCGACATGAAATCTTAGACATTTAAGTTAGTAATTGGGCAGGCGAGGAGCTATATTAAATGAATTGGTGGATGTTATAAATGAATTGGTGGATGTTATAACACATTAGAGTATGGAGTTTAAGCATTAACATGGTAATTTTGAAAATATATTGGTTTACAATTACCAAGTTTATGTTTCAACTTTTAGGTTAAAAATGAGTTTGATTGTTGGTGTATTAGGGTCATCTTTGACCCTTTGATCCATGTTCTCTAACAATGGGTAGTTCAGGGAGCATGCTCTAAACCCTTATTTGGCATCGAGGTGAAAGGGCGTTTAATTCTTTGATGTTTGAGGTCTTGAAAGTTAGAGATTGGATTTGAATAGTATGAATGAAATCAATTTGAAGTCTAACATTTGTGGACATGATTAAGGACAAATTGATGCTTAACATGCTTGTTAGAGGGGACACTAGCTCAATTCTTCAATTTCTCCGATTCCTATTTAGCATGTGCGCCAAAAAGGCAATTGATCGATGCAAATCTCTAGGGATTCATCTGATGGGTATTCTTGATTTGACATTATATGGATCAACACCAAGCTTTGATAAGTGTGGCTGTTTAAATTGCCCCTTTATTATGCGAGTTGTCATGTGGACCTCAAGATCAATGTAATGATGAATCCTCCTTTCATGTGCATGATGGAGAAGGATCACTAGATTTAAATAAAATTGTGATCTTATTTAAATTGGCTTATAATTGTTGGTTGAACAATATTAATTTCATTGGTTTATGTCATTTTAGTACATGATTAGTTGCTTAAGAGTGCAGGAGGAAAGGGACGGAGGCCCCTTCGTCTATTGGAAATTGTGGCCCCAACCCAACTAAAGTGGTTTTTGTCAATTGCAATATCAATCAGCAATGTTAACCAAGCTGCAGTTATTAAGGACTGGGAAGATTGTTCTCTATTCAACATCATTAAAAGGAAGCAATGAATCTTCAACCTTTATAGATTTTTGGAGGGACCTCTATCAATTCCCCAAAATTATGCTAGCAATGCCAAAGAGACCCATGTTGGAGCTTGGCTCATACATAAAAAAAATGAAGGAATGATTATTTTTTAAATTTACATGGCAACTTTTCTTAAGTATTGTCCATTATCCCCAACATCCTTCTCCCCCATCACCATTTGGTTTAGGCTTGGGCATCCTAGTGAGCTTAACCGAAGCAGGTTGAATGCGATCAAGCCTGATTAGGTTAGCTTGACTAATCTTGACCTAATCTGAATTCTAGGTTGTTGTGCACTTTTGAAAAAAATTTGGGTGAGGATATTCTAACGTAAATTTTGTTAAGTTGGTTAGGCTTCATTTGGGACAGTTTTCTTCTTGCTCTCTAGTCTCTAAAATAGCTTTCAAGTACAATTTTTTTTTTTTTTGAATTTGAAAATTTTGTACTAAAAAACTGTTTTAAAAGCAGTACGAAAGCTGCCCCAGATGAAACCTTAATTACTTGATTTGCTTTCAAATGAATGCAATAGACAATTTTATTGATTAACCATTTATTGCACTACTTTCAAAATAAAATCTATCAACTTGAAAAATGATCATTTTTGGATCAGAATATTCTGGCTCAAATTTTTTTTGACACTTTGAGACTATGCATGTCTGAGATTCACGTTTAACTTAAGATTAGAAACTAATGAGGTGATAATGTATTTGCAGGAGAAGCCAAAGCGATATCACTTTCTAGTAGCAAATGCAAAATTCATGCTCGATGAGGAGGAACACTTCAAAGAGCTGTTGTTTGAGAAGCGCCGAAACTATGGGGAAAGGAACAAGGAGCAGGATTTTTGGCTTGTCATTGAACCCAAATTTCTTGATCAGTTTCCAGACATTACAAAGAGATTGAAAAGGCCTGCGGTCGCTTTAGTCTCCACTGATGATCGATGGATCACGTAAGTTTTATAAGTCTCTGATGACTTGGGATAATTTTGTTCTTCTTTCATCATAGTTTTCTATTTTAACACTTGCATTAACCCTATAAACTACCATAACAACAACAACAACATCAAGCCTTTATCCCACTACGTGGGGTCGGCTACATGAATCCTTTTTCTCCATTGTGTCCTATTAAAAGTCAAATTCTCATTTAAATCTAATAAAGAAAGGTCATTCCTAATATTTTCTAACCAAGTCTTTTTAGGTCTACCCCTACCTTTCTTAACATAAGTCAAATCTAATACCTCTACTCTCCTAACCGGGTCATCGCAAGGCCGCCGTTTTATGTGACCAAACCATCTAAGGCGACTTTCTCTAATCTTATCTTCTATTGGAGCTACTCCAACCTTTTCACGTATATGCTCATTTCGTATCCTATCTCTAAGGGTAAAGCCACTCATCCACCTGAGCATCCTCATCTCTGCCACACTTAACTTAGTATTATGTTTCTCTTTTAAAGGCCAACATTCGGCACCATAAAGCATTGCAGGCCTCACTTAACCCTATAAACTACCATATAAATTTATTTTTTTTTCATGAGGATAAGCCTTTGCATTAAACCCTATAAAGTACCCATAATTTTTATTTTTTATTTCATAAGGATAAGCATTTGCTAGATATTTAAAATGAATTTTTATAATGCATAATATTGAAAGCTGTTTCTTTATTGTAGTTTTACTCATGAATCTCTATTGTTACAGCCAAATCACATACACAGATGAGTTAAATTTGTTTTCTTTTTAAAGATTGGAAGAATAAGGAGAGTTATTTTTCTTATTTTTTGAACATCCATTAATTAATTAAAATAAAAAGGTTTAACTAATAGTCAACTAGAAAAACCTCGTATTCAGTGTCATAATATTATTGTTTCATTTAATAGAGATGAGTCTGGCCTTAAAGTGATAAATTATTCTGTGCGGAAACCGGACGGCGAGAACCGTCCGGATTTGTTGCCCTTTAGTTGTCATTTTGTTGCACTTTACAAATATTCAACAAAATGGCATAAACTATGCAATTATGCACATTTACTATCTTTTGTTGAGTATTTGCAAAAACACAGTAAAATGATAGCAAATATTTAATTAGTAGGATATTTGCTGCACTTCAACTGCCCTTTTGCTGAGTATTTACAAAAGCGTAATAAAATGGCAGCTAAAGTGGAGCAAATTTAGACGGTTATTGCTGCCCGGTCTCCGTACAGAATAATTTCTCCCTTAAAGTTCACCGCTCACGAGTCCCATGCTACCATCTCTTGGTTGAATACTCTATAATCCATCTGACAGGTTCATGAAATTGAGACTAGACAGAGTTTTATCGGGCAACTATGAAGCAAACTCCATAGAGGAAGCTTTGATTTCTAACCATGTAGACTTGCACTTTGAGAAACCAGAGAAATGGGTTGCTCCTTATCCAAAATATGATTTTGGATGGTGGGAACCATTTCTACTACCTGAATCCAGCAAAAATGAAGCTTAGAGTAGCATTTTTGTTTCAAACAACACATCTGTATGAACCATTAATCTAAATCCTCCATTGTTAGTGAACATGAGTTGAAAACATTTGAAGCTAAATTCGATTGTAATTTTATCTTTTTAATGCTTGAAGCCCTGTTTTTTGAATTTTAACGGTTGAAATCGAGCATTACTGTTACCCTTTGTTGTGAATAAGCAAGTCACTTGGGGGCTCATTTGGTTGAGATATTATTCTGTGCGGACGTCAAACACAGTTTACCGTCCGGAGACCAACTAGAATGCGTCACGTTAGCAGTACCAAGCTGGGTACCGAGCAATACTGAGCCAGGTATCGAGCAAAGGGTGATGTAGCGCATTCTGGTTGATATCTGAACGGCATTTGGCGTCCGCTCAGAATAATTTCACCATTTTTGGTTGGTTGTAAATATAAAATATTTTACACATTAAACTGTTGGAATTCTACTTCCAATCAAACGAGGACTTTAATATATTTTTTTTATAAGCAAGATTTCAAAATCAAACAACCAAATCAGTCCTTAGTATGTCAATCAGTAGAGTTATTTTACTCTTTTGCCTATATATTATTATTATTATTAAGGATATTGTTATATATGCTTTATATGGATAATATTATCTTTATTATGTATATATTTTTTTTCTCTTATATTGTTATGTATTGATAAATATATATATATATACTCAAAGTAAGCTTTAGATTTTATTTGGGACATTTTCTTATTGCTTTTTAAAATATTTTTTTATACAAAAATTTTTAATTAAACATTTTTGGTATTAAAAAAATACTTATAAGTAACAAGAAAGTCATCTCAAGTGAAACTTTATTCTTAGTTTTTGTTTGGGATTGGGAAGACTTTTTTATTGCTTCTTGAAGTAGCTTTTTAGTACAAAAATTGAAAGCTGTTTTAAGAAGCAGTAAGAAAGCCGTCCCAAATGAATCCTAGGACTTCATTTGTGACAGCTTTCATACTTTTTTTTTTAAATTTTTTTTTTTAAAGCCAAAATTAAAAAAAAAATTGTCTAAAATAAATCCTTATTTTAGCCACCAACTTTAATACCAGGGATCAAAATTATGTGAATTACATTAGGGCAAATATTTTTAAATAAGCAAAATTTAAGAGTGACTATCAACCACTTAATATTGATTACAAGACTTATTCGTGAAGATTCTAAGTGATGTTGAATTCTTTTAAATTATTCATAAATAAGACGTTCGAGAAAATTCAGCTTACTTTTTTCTTTTTACAATTCAACCTACTTTTTTTCTTTTTTCTTTTTATATTATTAATGCAATTACCTTTCATATACAAAATTTATTAAAAAATAAAAAAAAAATACAAAATTTATTCATCACCGAATAAAATAGAAAATTTGAATGGTCAATACGTAAAGGTTAATGCCGGTCAAAGTCGCCGGTTGTGTGGGCCCCATGTACACATATGGGCCAATTAAACATGGCCACTTGTAGACTTAACCAAACCGGCTTACGTTAGAAACTTTGTCTCCGCGAAGTTAACATGCGCACGGCGCCAAGAAAATTTTTATATCAAAGAATGAAGATCTCAGTGCGAATTCGCCCTAAAATTTAAGCCGAAAAGTCGCATAAGAAAACACGAAACCATAAGAGTGCGTCAAATATTAGATTCAGATTCTTTTCAATTTTCAGAATGGTAAATATAATCATTTTTTAGTGCTAAATTTATTTTGACAAAATTATTTGTTATTAAAAAAATTTATCTCAACCATGCAATAAGAATTTGATGGTTGAGATTATGAGCATCAATATTTGACATGATCCTAAAATCCGAGACGAACCTGATCTGAAATTTTCGAGTTTGGGTTGACCCGGACCGACCGTTTTCCGCATAGTCTGCCATCGTGTCAGTCGTTGAGTCGCATCCACGATCCATCACTCTATCCGTCACATCAGTTAGTCACAATGTTGCATCTCCGAACCATCTTGAGATTTTGAGATGATAGTTACTAAAATAATTAGTAGTAATCAAATTCGATAAATATTAAGGGACAAACATAAATATTTATCATTGAATGTAAATGGTCCTGTGAAAGTTGAAGAAATATCTCCAAACTTTTATTTTGTTGGTGAAAAATATGCGAAAGTTCATTTCGTGCCGAATGATCCCCTCTTATAAAGGCAGATTTATTTATGTTCGTCGTGAACTATTTTAGTTTGAACTGATTTAACTTTGAATATTCATTTGAACTTGATTCAAATATAGCTTGAGCCTTTTTAAAACCTAGTTCAAATTTAATTTGAAATTGATTTGAACCAGTTATTTGAATGAATCTTCGTTCTCCTCGCACGCATCTACCCAGCAAAATCTCCTTATCCTCATATGCTGGTGGTCTCATTAGCAAGAATCAATGAGCTCTCAAAGGCTTCGTTTGGGACGACTTTTCACTGCTTCTTAAAGTAACTTTTTAGTACAAAAATTTTAATTATTACACTAAAAAGTTACTTTAAGAAACAGTGAGAAAACCGTCCCAAATAAAACCATAGAGAAATCACCATCACTTCACACACCGTAGATCTCATTGGCAAGCCCCTATGGCAAGACCCTATGAGCTCCCATAATTAATTCATCTTCTCACATGTTGCTTGTCATGTTAGCAAGTCCTAAGGAATATTCTATTGTAAAATCTCCTCCTCAGGCTCTAGGCGAATTATTATGTCCGGTGACCGGACTGTCTGGACACAAATTCAGACGCGCCATGTCACCCGAATACACTAGGCCTCAAGTGTAACTGAGTGATGTGGCGCGCCTGGAATGGAGTCCGGACGAATCCGGGCACCGTACATAATAATTTTCCCACGCCCTGTTAGTCATGTCTACGAGCCCCCAAAATAATACAATAGTGACATCTTCTTCTCTTCACGTCACAGTTCTCTTCTTCTTGCAAGTTATGATCATGTGAAATCCTTAGGTTCAGATTTTACTAGAATCTGATTTTAACTATGTTTGAATCAGCTTTTAAGCAAATTTGAATTAGAACTACTTGCTCCCTTGCAATGGGCTTTGATAAGTGGGAATAATTTGCTTAAAAATGAACTTTTAGGCACATTTTCATATTTCTCCAATTTCCAATATAATGGCACACATATATATGGCACAAAAAATTCGTTTTAATCGGGCACGAATCTCGATGCAATATATGAGGTTTGAGGCTTCAAAAATTAAAACTTGGACCATCCAATTTATGATAGTAAAATTGAAGATCTCAAAGACACGAATCCAACAACATCAAAATTGGTCCAATCCGAGTGCAAATGGGCTCAAATAAAAGGATCAAAGCTTTTTTGGAAGCTTCAGAGCATTAATTAGATAACTAAATGATCGAAGAATGTGCTATGCTTATAGTCAAATCAAGCGGCTTGACGAGACGATTCCAACTAACCCAAGATTGTTTAAGTATGAAATCATTAAGACACTGAAATGCTCAATCAACGATCTATGATCAAGTAGGTTGATATTAGCCACCATTATAACACTCCCATATTGACCTTGATCTCCTCTATTTACAAGCTATGACACTCAAAAAAATTACAAATAGGCCACCATTCTTCACATATAGGGGGGAGGAGAAGGAGAGAAAAAAAAGGAGGAAACAAGAGAAAACTTGGAGAGCTCTATTGCCGTCAATCAACATCGGATTTCCTCTCTACTGCCCCCATTTTTGCACACCGCCGACATTTCTTCTCCACTGCCGACATTTTTCCGCACCGACGGCATTTCTTCTCCATTACCGACGTTTTTCCACATCGCCGGCATTTCTTCTTCACTGCCGACGTTTTTTCACACCGCCGGTATTTTTTCTCCACCACCACGAATACCACAAGACTCCTCCTTAATCATTGTCGAGGTTTTTCCTGACTATTACAAAACTTTTGTACCAAGAATATATGTTAGAAGATTGATAGAAATTTTCAATACATTGAAATTCTCTTTGTCCTCGGATTGGAGTAGAGATTAACTTTTTTAATCTATCTAAATTCTAGTGGAATCATTTCAACAAGGCAAGTTTTTTCTCTTTCTCAAAGTTTTTCACATACAAATTCTAATGTTTTCTCTTTCATGTGTTTGTGTGCTGAACTTTCATGCTTTGCTAAGATATATTTTCTTTCTCACTCTACTGCTGTGAATTTCTCATATATATAATAATATCTATAATATTATTTATATATATATATATTATATATTATAAATATATATTATATATATAATATATATATTATTTATTAAATGGTTATATATTTTTTTCAAGATAATATGATAAAGTAATCAAAATAGTTTTTTTTTTCTTTCTTTCAATTTCCCTTCCAAGTGTAAATCACCAGTAAATCGGCACGAGATAAGAGTGGCGCATCATAGAGCCATAACATCAGGCGCTTGCACGCAGATCACCCTGCATCATGTGCTAAACTCAAGAAAATCCCACCCCGCCCGTTCACTGTTCCGATAAACCGAACAAATCATACTCGTTTACCCCTCGAGAAGCTTTTGGCCTCCGGGCAATACCCAGCTTCGCACGCACCATTGAAGCTCTTAGTCGCCGAGATAAATCCGTCTCCATCTCTTCATCAAAAAACACCCGGAAAGCCTCCCATCGTCGAATTTCCTCCGCCAGCGCTGTCGCTGCCCTCAACTCGGATTTCGCGCGAGGGATTCGCCGAGTGGCTCGATGCAAAGCTTCCGAACCGGAGAAAGTCGAGCCCGGATTGGCCGGGGCGGATGTAGTGCTCGGCGACAGCGAGGGATAGGTCGTCTGGATCACGCGCCCCGATCCGAGGCGGTCGAGGGGCGAGGGAAAGCTCTGCCGAGGGTGATCTCGCCATCACCGTTGTGGTCAAAGAGGTCGAAGATGCGGCGGAGGCGGACGGAGTTGAGGCTTGGGGAGCGGAGCCGGAAGGAGGGGGAGGGGTGTCGGAGGCACGGCCGACGGGCGGATGGAGACGGCGACAGAGATGTGGTCGTCGGCTTCGCCATATTGTGGGCGAGATCGATCTCGATTGAGACGAGAAGGATTTTCAGAGTTATTATAGTGGGAAGAGAGAGAAAGTATCGCCGGCCTTGAGAGCGGACGTGGGCGTTGCAATGGAAGTCGTCGCTTTGGTT